ACAGTATTTTCTGATTGGTTGCTCATTTTCTATTACTCTCGAGGCTTCTTTTGTAGTTCCCTCTCTATGATAACTTTGGCGATTTATTTAATCCTGATAAGGACTAGACTTTTATCAGGAATCTGGGGGTAGGTTTGGGGCCATCCGCCTCATCGTTTTTTCAGCCATATCACCCTAACCGTTACCATCACGTGCTGTGTGTCCCTGTCTTATTCACTTCAGTCTCTCATTCTTATCTCCACGTGTCTCTTCTAATTTCTCTGGCCAAGTGGGTTCCATTGCGTGTACATTTTGGTTAAATTATTATAATCATGTTGAATGTTATCCATCAGCAGCATCTTTTCCTCACCTGTTGAGTCATAATTATATTTTTTTAATTCCTTCTATACTGCAAAGAAACAAGTTAACGAATAATTTGTAGTTAACCAAAAATTGGTTTAATCACTTTCTTAATTCCTGTCCAAACAGAACTTCTGATTTAATTTTAAGAGTTAGAATTCTAAACTTCCTACTAGTTTAAAATTTTTTTTTTTTGGGACTTTCAAATTTCCTCAAGCTCAGTCAATCAGTGCCATTCTACAATAAAGGTTGGCTGCAGCTGATCGCCAACACTCTTTGTCTCTCGTCTTTGTTGTACACTCTTCGAGGCTGCTGTTTAACCATCCCTATAGTTGGTCTTCATTCTGTCATTCTCTGGCTCTTGCATTCTTGTTGTAAAATTTTCCGTGTTTAGTTTTTCTTCTTGTGAGAATGCTACATTTATTTTTATTTAAATAATATGAATGCTGCAATCTGTTGCACATTTCACTGCCTGATGTATAGTGTATCTTGACAGATGCATTAGAGTTTACATTGACGTATAATGAATCCTTTCAACTTAAATGCACAAATCGTATTGTCTTTTTGATATATACTATACATCTTACTGACAGTCTAAGATTATTCATATGGTCATTATGGAAATATTAAGATTAACTACCTGATCTCTCTCTCTCTCTCTCTCTCTCTCTCTCTCTCTCTCTCTCTCTCTCTCTCTCTCTCTCTCTCTCTCTCTCTCTCTCTCTCTCTCTCTCTCTCTCTGTGTGTGTGTGTTTGGTTTTCTTTTCTTGTTTTTTTTAATTTCTGTAAGCTACTACTTTTTTTTCTTTTCCCCCCCCCCCCCCCCCCCTCCCCAGAACCTCTTCATTTGATTGCCCTCCCTCCCCCTATTGAGATAAGTTTATCGTTATGTCAGCAGGATATAATATAATAATTTAATTAGAACACAAGTTAATTAACATGCATATTCTTATGATGTAATCACAGGAGGGGACATGACTCTGACAGCTCCGACCAGTCGCCTCCACGGAAGAAACAGACAGCATCAAATTCTCAGTACTCAAAATTCAATGATGACCACCAAGATGACAGACCAGCAAAAGCTACAAAGACTTTGGGCGGGGCGAAGGCAGGTTTATCTTCAGCAAAAGAAATGAGAGAAGAGGCGAAGAAGCTACGAGAAAAAGAAGACAAATCATTCCAAAATGTAAGTGTAAGATACTGACGTGCAAATTATGTCATCATATTTGTGGTTTATTGTGTCTGTTCTACGTCTTTGTTTTTTTTATGTCATGTTAAATCTTAAATAAATATATTATGCAGTTCTTTAGCTAAGCCACAATATTTGTATTTTTCAAGCGACACATTCAGCTGTTTTGATGATTTCTCTACCTAACTAACCTTCCTAGATGTGCTTCATCTATATTTTTGTCATATTTATTGTCTGTTATTTCACTTGGACCTAAGCAGGCCTTGTGTGTAATCATCATCATCGCATTAGACTGTTTATATTTCTTTTTCTTCTTCTTCGCATTCACCAGCTGTTAACTCTGGTGGAAAGTTCTGGTTGTTCGTCCACTTCTGTACTGCGGTATTGTTCCAGAACCTGAGTGTTGCGTGTGTATCTGTTTTACAGATCTGACTCATTTGTATGTAGACTTGGTTCCTTGCCTCTCAGGCAGCTGCACTCCAGCTTCGAAGGAAGCTCCCAATAAGTCGGCTCTTAGGACATGCTTACAAAAGACAGTGAAGTTCATACTAGAGACAAGATTGCAGGTATAGATAATTTATTTCAAGCAAACAAAAGAAGAAAAAGAAAAAGTAAGTGCTGTGAGGTAGTATATTTGAAGGCTGGGCATTTGGAGGTATTTACTGTGGAGTTATTTCAGTATTTGCTATGCAGTGATCACAGTATTTGCCAGTGAATTGCTTCAGTTTTTGTCAGAGATTTACTTCATTATTTACCAAAGAATTACAGCAGTACTTACAGAATGGCAACTGTACTTGTCAAAGGATTGCAGAAGTACTTGTTGAAGAATTGCAGCAGTATTTACCTGTGTCATCATAATACATTAGTTACCAAAGAATAACAGCTTTATTTACCAAAGAATTACAGCTTTATGTATCAAAGAATTACAGCTTTATTTGTCAAAGAATTACAGCTTTATTTGTCAAAGATTTATAGCTTTATTTATCACAGATTTATTAGTCTTTTTATTTTCTTCTTAGTGTTAACTGGCTGTAAACTCTGGCAAAAAGTTTTGGTTGTTCCCCCAACTTTTGAACTTTGGTCTTTTTCCAGAGTTTTGTATACATTTTACAGATCTGACTTATTTAAGTGCAGACTGTTGGTTCTTCGCTTCTCATGCAGATGCACTTTGATTTCGGAGGAATTTCAGCAGTATTTGTTAAGTAATTACCATGACTTTGTGAGATGAGTTTAACTTTATTGCCTCCTTTTTTTTTTTTCTTTTTTTTTTTTTTTAGATCGGAGAAGACAAATTGGGAAAGAACGCCAAAACTGTAGTCAGGGATAAAGAAACTGGCAAAAAAAGAGACTTGCGAGCTGAAGAAGCAAAGAATGCAGAAGACGAGAAGAGAAAAGAGGAGCAACTAAAGAAATACCAGCAGTGGGGGAAGGGGTATGTATGTGTTGTAGTTGTTGTTTTTTTTTTTTAGGTGTGTTTAACTAATATGTCTTGTGACTGAACAAAGAAAGCATCTTCACCGGGCTTGACAAGTCAACACCCAAAATTGTTTTTGCTTGCTGTGTTTAACTAAAGCATATTACATTCAGTGGTGTGCCGTTATTCTCAAAGGATGATGAAATAAGAGAAATGTCTGGGCAATCTCTGGAAGACACTCAAAATTAGTTCTGTCTTGGACACATAATGAGTGGAAAAAACAAGTGTGCGCAACAAATACACACAGGTGTCTGATCCCACTACACAGAGAGCAGGGAGAACTACTAGAAGTCTATGTGAAAAAAAATCCCAGCCTGAACCTGGGACCTCCAGCACTCGAGGCGGACACCATGTCTCAAGGCCACAAAGCCTCGCTGAGGAGTGGACGGCAAACCCTGTATGACATATAATGCCACAACAATAAAATAATGATGAATTTGCCATTGTCTTCTGTACCATTACCTTCATACTATTTTCTAACTCACGGCGATCTGCTTACATATTGCCTGCGGTCTTCTGTACCATTACCTTCATACTATTTTCTAACTCACAGCGATCTGCTTACATATTGCCTGCGGTCTTCTGTACCATTACCTTCATACGGCGATCTGCTTACATTACATATTGCTTGCAGCTGAATCAAACAGCTCATGGGAGTCAGGACCTAGCTACACCTATGCGGCCGTCCTAGAAACAGGTTCCCCAGCAAGGATAGGATCATAGTTTTGTTCAGAGTTCGGAATTCCTGAGAGGGGAAGAACCAGAAGTCTGCACAATGGTAATCAGACCTGTAAAACAGATGTTAATGCAACAGTCAAGTCCTCAAACAGATCTAAAAGTCCAGACTTGATCAATAGCCAGGACTTTCTGCCTGGGTTTAGATTCGTGAAGGCTAATAACAACAACATAACAAACATGTCATCTATTGAGGCAAATATTTTGTAGCATTTCATCATCATCAAGTGTCTTCGTGACTGGTGAACATTTATTTCCACAATGGGCTTTCTTCAACTGCATGTGTGATTTCATGTGTTGATACCTCTCCATGACACAAGACTGTCAAGAATCTTGTCACGTTGTCTTCCTCTGTCTATTTTCCCCACAGAACTGTCCAATGGTTACAACATCTTCAGGTTTTCCTTCTTCTCATAACAAGACCAAAAAAGGATGTTTGTGATAAGTCTTCGTACCCTCCCCTGTTTCAGAACATCTGGATTGCTCTCTCTGGAAGTCCAAGAAATTTGAAGGATTCGACTTGAACACACAACAGAGCTGTATTAGAGTTTATACAGATGGTTCAGCAATAAGAGACAGAGGAAGAGGAATAAATATATATATATATATATATATATATATAGAATGCCCAAATGGTTTCAAAATTGAACAAGCTGTACCAACAGGTTTATATTCTGGCCTTTTCCAAGCACAAGAAAGTCAAAACTTTATTGTACTCGAGGAGATATGGACTGCACGATAGGTTTCATAAAGGCTACCGGCCTCCCGATATAAGTTTTCTGACGGAAGGATCAAAGAAGAAGGAGAAGATCAAGTCTTTAAAACCACATTTTCGGGGAGTCCAGAAATTGCTTGGCTTATTTATTGGTTAAAACTAGCTTGGCTTATTTATTGAAAGGGATTCACAGCCATAGGTTAAAACTAGCTCTGTACAGCAGGAAAGAATTCCTTTCTTCGCCTCCAATGACATGAATTGATTGCATAAAATGTTCTTCATTTTATAAAACGCAGTTTGAGCTTGAATGTAGTGCATGGTATGCTTTAACTCTTTGAGTCCCAGGGGGTTTAGCATCACAGGCCCAGGGGGTGGTAAAGAGAGTCAAAAAATCGGTGCAGCATGTGCTCTTTGGGCTTCTAGGTAAGAACTTATGAACGTATCATGCGTTCCTTGGGACTCAAAGAGTTAGAAACAATACATAAATTTTTTCTTTGGCAGTCTAAAGCAGCAGGAAATGCGAGACTCGCGTCTGCTGGACCAGGTTCATGAAGCATCCAAGCCTCTGGCTCGTTTTAAAGATGACAAGGATTTGGATGAGATGCTCAGACAGGAGGAAAGACTGGAAGACCCCAATGCTGGATTTCATCAGAAAGAAAAAAGAGAAAGAAGACAAGAAAACTGGCAAGAAGAAAAAGAATGGTAAATATGTGTACAGTTAATGTTTAAGTTGAGTTGAGTCAAGAATTGACATCACAGCACTCGTGGCATTTCCATGCATGCTTTATCCTCATCTTCAGCAGCCAGCACAGAGTTCCAATACTGATGAGTACTAGTAGTTAATGTTTAATGTTTGATTACACTTGAATATTTGTTGAGTAAATATTTCAGTATATTATTTTGCAGTGATATTTTTGTTCCATCATTTTAAAGAAAAGTTAGTTGCCTATCCTTTACATTGTGTTGCAAAACCGACTCCAGCATTCTTTGTCTGTTTTGTTTTGTTTTACTGGGTTCTTGTACATTCATTAGTTTGCTATTGCTTCCTGAACTTTCCCCCACAGATTGACATTAATTGATGAGAGTGCAGTTTTTATGGAGATCCCTGGGGATCATAGCCGGAGGTACTGAGTTCGTGCACTGTGCGGCGCTCTCGGCAGGCGGCTAGCCGTTCTGTGGAGGGAGACAGAACTGTTTAGGATGATACCCGTTGCAATGAAGTAAATCCTCTCAACTTTAACCTTTAACTAGGTGACTCAAGAACCACTTTTGAGTATTGCTGAAGGCTGAACTCAGAACTGACGTCACAGCACTTAGGAAATTTGCTTCTCATCTTCGGCAGTCTCCAAACGGTTCCAATTCTGATGATGCCAGTAGCAGTTTGATTATTTGTCCATCTTGCCTTTCCTCTAAGTGCAGAGGGTCAACCAGATCCCCCGGTGACTCCTAGCTGTGCCATTCTGTCCAGACCATAATAATAGATTCATGTTTCTGCATTGTACAGTTGCTTCCAAAGTGACTTTGCCTTAGAGGCACTTGTCAGATGCAAATGCAGCAGAAGTAGATTCTATAGCAGCCCCTTTCAACCTATAGAACAGCTGTCTTGGGGCATCTGGTGGTCATGGAGTAACTGCTGTCTTATGGGTGTGTCTGGGATTACGTTAAATGCAGACTGTAGGTTACGGGGTCAACATTATGTCAGCCACATATACTTCCTATGTCATTGCTGTATACCCATTTCTTTTTTTTTTGGGGGGGGGGGGGGTGTTGGGAGCCAACATACATTTGTAAAGTCCAGCTGGAGTGGATTCAAACCCAAGACATTCAGAATGGCACGTAAACGTATATTAATAATTTGGTTGAAATAAATATGTGAATTAGGTTCATAATTTTTTTTTTTTAATAAATGAATCTCCTGCAAGATTAAGGACCCATATATTGTAATTATTAGGAGTCCTGGCGGAGCCGGGCTGTTTTTTTTTTCTTTTCAAAAATGACCTTGACTCCCAGGTTGACCCAACCTTGAGTGGGCACAAGGTGCAGTCCTGGGAAGTAAAGGTTTCTTTGGCCTAGATTACCAAGGTTGGTTTCCTTGGATGGTGGGGGTAGGGTAAAATTTATTAGCAGCAGATGTAAGATTTTATTATACACTTTTACATTTAGTGTTTACCTTTGTTTTCTTGAAAGTCAGTGCTCCATACCACTATCCTGATCAACGCAAAGCCATCATGCTTGTAAATGGCCCAAAGTTAACTGGGTATTTCAGAATTACAAAGCTCTTGTGCAACACCTAAGCCACAGTACACACATGTAATGCAGAATGTGCATGTTTTAAACATTCTTATATCTTATTATAGGAGGATGAAAGCAACAGGCAGTAAGAGAGTCATATCTGCAGCACAGATATAATGGAGCTAGACAGCCTCTGTGACAGTTCTCATACACACATTTAATGTAATAAGAAGAAGAAGAACTCCACAGGGGAGCATGTACAGCAAGGGGTCCACAGTCATCAGTAGAAAGATCCCTAGTCGATGACTGTTTCGGCCCATTAACATTCCTATACAATCTCCAAAGTTGGGCACACCTGGGTCATGACTCCCAGGCCTCGATCTCCCCCTGCTGCACTTTACCGGATGTTCTTCTAGAATCTAGCTTGTTTTAAAGATCATTATGTCTGAACATAGGCAGACTAAAGCACCATTCAATAAGGAAGTCACATCTGCAGGTAAAGTTTATGGAGCATCAAAACCGTTAGCTGATTGGCCTCCATCACAATTCTGAAATCACTTAATATTCTTTTGGGTTCTTTGTTTAATTAAGACCTAATTGTTAAACATCTTTTTCTTTGTTTTCTTGTACAGAACTACCAAAGTACAAAGGACCATTGCCTCCACCAAATCGGTTCAACATTCAGCCAGGATACAGATGGGACGGGGTCGACAGGTCGAATGGATTTGAAAAGAAAATCTTCGCTTCACAGGCTAACAAGAAAGCGATACAGGAGATTGCCTACAAATGGAGTACTGAAGACATGTGATGGCTGTCTATGTGCATGCAGTCTGTATATTGTGTTTATTTTTAAACAATATTCTTTGTGTGAGTTGTGGATGGATGTCTGAGCTGTTGTTGTATTCTTGAAATCATCATCATTATCATGTGCCTTGTCCAGCAGCATAGGTGTTCTGTTCTTTTCCTAGATCTCACTCCCGGATGTTCGTCCATCACTATTTTGAGAATCCACAAGAAATAACATTAAACATGAGTTTAGATAGTATGATTCTTCTTCTTCTGCGTTCATCGGAAGATGTAATTGCGTTGTGTCCGTTTACAGCATGGCTGCGATATTTGCACCTTTTGGCCAATACATCCGACTTCTGCGGGCATTTGTTGACCGGGTTAGCCTTCCCGGTTCACTTATGATTCATGGTGTGTGCTGTATCTATATTCCACTTTATTCATCTCTGTAGAGTGCCCCCCCCCCCCCCACAATAAAACTGTTATATTGTTGAACTGCGATTTGCTCCTGTTAGATTTGCATGTGTGGATTTTTGGGGGGTTTGTTTTGTTTGTTAAATGGCTTTTGTGTATTTACCAGACTGCTACTGGTTCAGCTGGAACTGGAACTCTGTGCTGGCTGTTGAAGATGGGGATGCAGTGTTTAAGGAAATGTCTTGAGTACTGTGATTTCTGTTCTTAAGTAAATTATTTTATTTTTGTTAAAGTACTGCAGAGATGTATCTTTTAAGTGTAAAAGAGGGGTCGGGTGTGAAGCTCACTCACACACACACACACACAGTACTACTTCTTTGACTGGTCTATTGTCAACATTTGAAAGTTTTTTTCTCATGACTTTATCCTGTGTGTTGAATTGAGTTAAGAACTCAGGTCATTCCCACAGGCGATCCATCCCCATCTTCAACAGCCAGTGAAGAATTCCAATGCCAGTGGTACCAATAACAGTTTGATTGCATGTCAGTCTTGTGTGCAATTCCAATGCCAGTGGTACCAATAACAGTTTGATTGCATGTCAGTCTTGTGTGCAATTAGACAGAGGGTTATGATTTGTTATTTCAAATTGTCTGTATGTATAACTATTACTTCGACCTATCTGTTGTCGTTATTTTAAACTGTTCTTCAGAGGAGCTCTCAGATTTTTCCTAATTATTTTGTTTGTTGAAATGAGTTTAGAACTGGCATCACAGCATTTGGGACATTACCATAATCGCTCCATCCCTATTTCCAGCAGCCTGTGAAGATGTGCAATGCTCATAGTACCAGTACGAGTTTGATTGTATGTCTGTTTTGTGTGTAGGGAGACAGAGGATGTGATTCATTATTTGATGTGTTGTGTGTGTATATAGATATACTACTTTTTTGTGTGACATATCTGATGTCATTATTTTAAAATCATTTCTTCTGAAGCCGATTCATTTTCTCATTCATTATTTTATCTTGTGTATGATGTGATAGAGAGTATGATTCGTTATTTTATGTGTTGTATATATTGCCATGACCCTTTTCAAACAAGGGTCACACCACGAGGTCAGCGAGCATGCATACGGCGCATGAATTGCATAGCCTGATGGGACAAAGACTATGCTAATGAGCACCCAAACAACAACAGAAAAGACTGGTCATCAGTTGGGGGGAACTGAACATCAAAGAAAGCGTGAGAGCATCTCGGCTAAGTCCCGTGAGAGCATCTCGGCTAAGTCCCGTGAGAGCATCTCGGCTAAGTCTCGTGAGAGCATCTCGGCTAAGTCCCGTGGGAGAAACATAGACAGCCCACCCCTGTTAGAGCTAGTTAGATTAGTTTTTTGATAAAGTGGGTTGTGTTGATAATGTTGTTAGTGTAATCAAGATAACTAATAAAGAAGTACTGCAATAGAATGACGACATCACTTCTTTGTGATTATTTCATCTTTGTTGTGTAGAAACACTGTGGGACTGTTATCATTTAACAGTCTTCTTCTTCTTCTATCCTTCTATCAGAGAACTTATATCAGGAGGCCGGTAGCCTTTATGAAAGCTATCGTGCAATCCATATCCTCTCGTGTACCATACAGTTTTGTCTTCATTGTGGTTGGAACAGGCCTGATTGCGTCTCTGTGGTCAGCATACAGTTGACAGTGTTGGAGCACATGCTCAGCATTTTCAGGTGCCACGCTGCAGGGACACGTCTCCGTATTTCCTACACCGAAAATTTTGAACATATGTTGACGAAATCTGTTGTGCCCAGTCCTTAGTCTGAATATGATACAGTGATGATGAAAATATATTTTTGATGTTATTTAAAATACACAAACTCAGGATGTTTGAGAAACATCCGCTAGCCTTGATCTTAAAGAAGGCAACTGTTACAACTACAGACCTTACACGGATCACCTCACCCCAGACATGCCTTTACTTTGCTCCCTGACAACATATATAACACTTCCTTGGCGTCCTTCATGAGCTGCCATGGTAAAGTGGCTAGACACTTGCCTATGGATCCGGAAGTTGGGGATTTAAGTCTGAACGGAACCAGACTTTCTTTTTCAAAATGACCTTGGCTCACAGCCTTGAGTGGGTACCAGGTGAAGTTTTGGGAAGTAAAAGAGAGCTGGCGTGATGTTGACCACATCATCCACCGAGTACTGATTGGGCTATAAAATATAAGTCTAGCCCTATATGCCCATTACACCTGGAGGCGTTGAAGAGGGTCCTTCTCTGTTACTTTGTTGTTGTGGTAAACTTTACTTGGTGTCTTTCATGGTGAAGTGGTCACGCTGCTTACCTTGATTTATTTATTCAGATGAGATAGTTGTGTTGATCTACACAGATGGGCCCGTTATACGAGTACATAAAGGTACATGGGCATTCACAGCTCGCTCTGCAGGCAAAACAGCCCAAGAAGCCAGCAGTGCTTTCTACATGACTACCAGCAGTATGGTGATGGTGGTGACACAAACTTTCATGTGGCTATAATAAGAGGACTGTTCCCGGCATATGTGGGCTGAGTAATTCTTTGAGCATGATCCGGCTGGTTGAGGAGGATCCATACGCAGACAGTGGATTGAGTCATTGCAAACTCTCCTGTGTGTGTGCCGTTACCTTCATATTTGTCCAAGAATATACAGGTGTTGTTGGCAATGAAAGAGCTGATAGATTGGCAGATTCTGCACCAGTTGCAGATGGATCACGCAGACATTGTCAATGATCTTAGAGATATAGGACGTTCTGAAGATTTTGGAAGCAACGTGTCCACATCACTGCTAAGAATACGAGAACTGGGAGCAAAGATCGGACACATCCAAGCATAAGAGGCACACCAGACGCACAAGAAGTGTTGTCAACCAGCATAGGGCTGGCACTATTAACAGCTCGCCACTGGTGAATATGTTGGGGGGGGGGGGGAATCTGAGCACCTATGGACATGCCCGGAGTGCTGTGAAAATAATTAGATGTATCAGCTCCATGTACTGCCACTTCTGACACAACTGAGATCGTGATAATGAATTATTTAAACGTGTATTGGATACGCTTGTCATTTTTCGAAGGTGTCTATTTTCCTATAGTTGTTTGAAAACTAAAAGCTCGTGTGTTTAACATGCCACATGATTTTAGTGGTTCAGATGTGCTTATGGGAACTTCAGCCAGACACACACACACCAGAATTTGAAAAAATTGGAAAAGGAGGCCTTAACCTCCTTTTAATTTTCTCGGGGGTGAGGAGAAATGGGCATAGGCCTTTTTCAAGTGCGTAAATATAATGAAAAGGATATTCATAATAAATATTATTTTTGTTATTTATTTGTCTTCCAAGTTGGAGTACATCTGCATGAGAGGCAGGGAACACCATACTACATACAAATAAGCCAGTAAAACGGATTTGCACGCAAAAGTCAGCCTGGCACACAACCAGAGTCCAAATGGACTAACAACCAGGACTGTGCGTTCGCAGGAGAATGCAAACAAACCACAGCATTGTTACTACTACTACTATTACTACAACTACTACTATTACTACTACTGTTAATATTGTTATTATTATTATTATGCATTGCATGGCAAATAAATATAGGTAGAAGTCACGTTTTCGGGCCCAGGGACACCCTGATTGCCCGTTAGTTAAAGCGTCTTAACCTTTCACAGGCGCGACTTTTTTTAACAGGGATGTCAGGTTGTATTCACCGCTGCAATCACGCCGACTTTCTCCTACAGGGGTATCAGGTAGTATCCACCGCTGCGATCACGCTAACTTTCTCTTATAGGGGTATCAGGTTGTTTCCAATGCTGCGATCACGCCAATTTTCTCTTACAGGGGTGTCAGGTTGTATCCACCGCTGCGATCACGCCGACTTTCTTTTACAGGGTCTCAGGTTGTATCCACCGCTGCAATCACCCGTGCTCTGTATTACATCATGGCATGGAGGATCATCTGTGTCAGAGCTCAATGAAAGTACACGAGACAGAAGGTTGTGGATAGACGTGACTGCCACCATCACACAATGAAACCAGGTTGGCGAGAAGCGGCAGTGACATGGTACAACCAAATAGCGACTTAACCCACCAAGAGACGAAAACATTAATACAATCTAGCATCCAAGAAAAGTGGCTGGATACACACACCATATTCTCTCCCCAAGACTCACTTCATCGCCTCTCTAGAGAAGGACATTGTATTATATTCAGACTAAGGACAGGGCACAACAGACTTCAAGATATGTTCAAATTTTTCGGTGTAGGAAACAGAGTGGCGCCCGAAAATGCTGAACATGTGCTCCAACACTTTCAACTGTATGCTGACAACAGAGACGCAATCTGGCCTGTTCCAACCACAATGAAGACAAAGCTGTATGGTACAGAAAGATATGGACTGCACGATAGCTTAAATAAAGGCTACCGGCCTCCTGATATAAGTTCTCTGACAAAAGGATAGAAGAAGAAGAAGAAGAAGAAGACACGGTATGGACTGATGTTATCTTTCCATATTGTTCTTGGTCTAACTCCTGATCCACGTCCTTCTCCTTAAGATGTTTGCCCTGCATGGTATAG